CAGCAAAGCGGGAGCTCAAACACTGGCGGCAGCTGCGGGGGGCACCGGCGGCAAGCGGGCAGCGGCGGCGGCAATGGTGAAAGCAGCGGCGGTAGCGGAACAGTGAACGGCAGCGGGGGCGGCGGCGGCGGGTATGACGGAGGGCTTGGTACAGGTGGCGGCGGCAGCGACGGCGGCGGCAAGACCGGCGGCGTTGGTGGCGCAGACATGGGAGGCGAAGACGGCGACAAAAACCCCGACCTCTTCCTCGGCAGCGGCACCAGCTTGCTGCTGCTGCTGCTGCTCCCCTGCTCGTCCCCACCCGCACCGCCACCGCCGCCGCCACCGCCGCAGCCTGCCGTATCGGACAAAGCCGCGGCGGCTGTTGCTGCGGCTGCGTCCGCTGCAAGAGATGCCCCGCCTCTGTAATCGTTTCCCCGCCGATCGTCGTGAAAAGGAAGTGGGAAGAGACACACACAACAAACAAAAGGCGTGCGTTAGCGAAACCCAAGGCGTGTGGAGGCTATGGGATGCTGGGTTACGATTTCGTCAGTATTGCACACGCCGGGGGGCTTTTCTTGGTACGCTGTGAGCATGCTCGAACCTTGCGGCCTCGCTAAAACGTTAACCGCGGGGCCTACACAGGCTCTTCCCACGGGAATCGCGGCATGTTTGTTGGTGCCCCTTTCCCCTTAACACGGGTTCATGGAAAACACACAACATCGAGCAATCAACCACATCTCCCTGCATACACATCTCGATGCACACCCAAACACACGCGGTTCGCAGCACCCTCCCAATTTTGTTGCGTAAACGTTTATTGCCACAAATACCAAACTGACGGTCCGTCTAGCTCAAGATAACCACATCAAAACAACGGACGTCGATAGATACCCCCCGTACCTCGCTCTCGCCGATTTCCTCGACTCGTCGGAGGACATCCGCCCCAGAGCATCAGCGCCCTCCCCGCCGTTCGACAGCCCGTAGCTCCCTCTCGAAGCCCTCTCCCCGCCGGCAAGCGCGTCCTCGACGACCGGCCCCGCCATCCCGGGGAGGATGATGCCGCCCATGTCTTCGCTCTCCAGGTCCACCACGTCGGCGGGCACCTCCACCTGCACCGAGACCACCTGCGGCGGGTACCCCGGGTGGTCCGCGTCCGTGATCCTCACGAACAGGTCGCACCGGTCCTCTTCCTCCCCTTCCTCCTCCGCCCCGCGCGCTTGGCCGCCGCCGCCTTTACCCTCTTCCTCCTCCAGCTCCTCGACTGCCGCTATCAGCCTCACGGCCACCTCCCTCCTCTTGGTCGCCGAGACGATCAGGCTCGACGGCTCCGCGATGGCGGTCACCGCTCGCGCCACCCTCGCCGGCCGCCGCCGGCCCCCGCCCCCGTCCTCCGCCGCGGGCACGCGCACGCCCCGGGCCAGGAACAGCCGCCCGCCGCCCTCCAGCTTGAGGCGGACGGGGCGCAGCGACTGCGAGAAGCTCTCCAGGAAGAAGGTGGCGGGGCCCTCCGGGTCGTAGGGATACTTCACGTCCCCGTCCCCGCCGCCGCCGCCGCCGCCGCTGTCAGGGGGGCGGAGCTCGACGGTGACCGACGTGTGCGAGAGCCCGAACGTGGGTCCCGGGACAAGAGACCCGACCAGGGCGACCGACTCCACCAGCACCCCTTCTTCCTGCCCGCTGCCGCCGTCGCCGCCGCCGCCGCCGCCGCCGCCGCCGCCGCCGGCCCCGGGAGCAACGTCGTCCAGGTCAAGCTGGTCCGGGTCGCCCGCCCTGTCCTCGAGCGCGATCTCCACGCGCACCGTGCCCACCAAGCGCATGTGCTGGCCCCAGTCCGACGTCGCCGGTACCCCGAACATGGCCGCCTCCGTGCCCCCTCCCTCCTCCGCCAGGTTGGGCTCCGGCGGCGGGATAAGTTCCGGCGGCAGGCGGGCGCCGGGGAGCGCCAGGCACTCCGCCTGGACGTCGAGCACGTCGCCGGGGAGCAGCGCGACGGCGGGAGACGACCGGCCGTCGGCCCCGACCGAGGCGTACACGCCGGCCGACGAGTCCTGCTGCATGGAAGCGCCGAGGGAGAGCACCCCGGCCACCTCCGGCGCCGGCATCACTCCGAGCATCACCGACACCGTCTCGCCGGACACGTTCTTCAGCTGGAAGGAACCGGCGCAGCGGCCGGCGGCGCCGCGCAGCGGCGGGATCGCCAGCGGCGCGAGCCTCAGGGATCCCCCCTCCGAAGCTCCGAACGACCCGAACGCTTCGATGGAGGAGGACCTCGCCCTCCGGCGAATGGCCGACGGTCCCAGGTGGGACGGGGTGGGAGTCCCGGGGCTGTAGATACGGAGCGAGATAGGGCTGGGCGGAGGCTCGTCGAGCCCGATGATGCTCACCAGCTGGGTCACGACGCGAGCTGACACGTCCACGGCGATCTCCTCCGCGTGCGGGTCGGCCAAGTTAACCAGGGATATTCGGAACGTCTGGGACCCCGCCCAGCTCTGCCTTCGGCGGGAGAGGCGGAGCTGGACCACGAGCGTAGCCTCGCCTCTGGCCGGCACCCAGAGCATGTCGGTACACCCTCCGTCCACTGCCGCCGCCGCTCTGCCCCTTTCCCGCATGCTGGAGGACGACAAGCTGCCGCCACCGCCGCTGCCGACGCTACCGCCGCCGCCGCCGCCGCCCAGGAACACGCAGCTGCCGTCCGCGCGAGCAGACATCGCGTCGCTGAAGCTGGCCGTGCTGCTGTTTCGTCGAAGAGCAGCGCTGCGCCGGGGGACAAGCGCCTTGTACACACCTCCCCTGCTGTGCCCGTCGCCTCCGCCGCCGCCGCCGTGGGCATCGGTCACTACTTCCAGCTCCGGAGATATCCCGACCATGCCGACGGGCACGGCGGTGTCGCAGAGGCTGCGGAGGCGTACCTCGAAGCGGCGCCGGCCGCGCCTAGACTTGGTGTGGCCTACGTTCCCCAGGTCCACGTTAGGGGTGCCGACGACCTCGAACCGGGGTCGGCAGAAGGTGCCGACGGCCCTCAGGAGCTTCACCAACGGGGGCGCCCGGACTTCGGGCGACGGGTCGTCCTCCTCTCCATCCGTGGTCGCTCCGGAGCCGCAGCAGTACACCCGCTCGGGGAGGAACAGCGCCCTCGTATCCCCAGGTACTGCTGCGCGTCGCCCCCCGAACTGCTGCTCGTACAGCCCCGCCCTTGCCGCAGCCGCGGTCGCGTTTCCCACCGCCACGGAGGAAGCACAAGCGCCGCCGATCCGGGCGAAGGCGACGATACCGTCGAAGTCCACCGCCTTACCGCTCTCCACCGCCGCGGTCGGCAGCGGAGCCGTGAGCTCGCCGGTCCGGATGCACAGCCGGACGACCGCTGTCGCCCGGGCGGGGAGGCTTACCGCCGGCCCGCACCTCGTCAGAGAGGGACCCCGCGGCGTCTCCTCTCCCTCTTCCTCCTCCTGCACCTTCTCTCCGCCGAGAAGAGCCGAGGCTGACGCCGCGCTACCGCCGCCGCCGCTGCAGGCGGCCTGCTCCGCCTCACAGCCGCCCGCGACCGAGTCGAGCGTACGGAAACCGCCGCCACCGCCGCCGCCGCCGTTGATGCTTTCGTTATCGTCTCTGTCGTCGTCCTTCGCCGGGCTGCTGTCGAACACGAAAACGCCTGCCGTTGCGTCGTCGTGTTCGTCTTCCTCCGCCTCCTCCTCTACCTCGCCCGTTACACCGCCGGCGTTTTCGGTCTCCACCACCGAGGTGGACACGCAGACCGGCAGGTTCGAGTACGGGGCCAGGACGACGGCGCGGTCACGGGCGTTGGTCAAGCGGAACACGAGATCCCCCGCTTGCTCTCGCCGCCTCCCCGTCGGCTCCTTTTCCTCGGGGTACTCCTCGATCTCGTGCATCTCTCCGAGATCGTCCAGGCCGCCGCCACCGCCACCGCCACCGCCGGCGTCCTTCCGCGGCACCACGAGAGGCAGGATGCGAAAACGGCTGACCTCCTCCGGGGGGAGGAGAGGTCCCCGCTGCCGCCCGTACTCGTCTCCGGAGTAACCGGGAGACGAGGAGAAACTCTCGCCGTACGCGACGACAGCGGTCGCCGCCTCCGCCCGGCATGGCGCGACGGCCACCGCGTACGGGAGGAGCAGGGTCTCCAGAGAAGGCAAGGCGCGCCCGCTCTCGTCCGTCAGGTGCCCCGCCGCCTCCGGCGACGACGACGATCCATGCCCGCCGCAATTTGCGACAACAGCGGCCTGCATCTCCGCGAGGGGCTCGAAGATGGTCGATGGCCCTTGCGAGAGCCGGCGCTTCGCCACGGAAGGCGGCGGCGCGATGACCTCTTCCGGGGCCTCCAGAGAGGGAGGCGAGTTCGTGCTGACCACGACGCCTCCGTCGTCCACGAAGAGTCGGACCGGGTGCGAGACCCTGTCCGTCTTGGCGCGGTTGGCCCCGTCCAGGCTCCCGGACGAGATGTTCTCCACGGTTATGTCCCGCTGGAACACACCCTGAAAGCCGTTGAGGAGGACGCCGAACCGGACGCCCTTCTTGGTCGCCGGCGGCAGCGTGCCCGTCCCGGCGGCGAGCACCACGAGCTCCGCCGATCCCGCCGGTAACCGCCGGAGTCGTGCCGCGATCCTCTCCTCGTGCGTAGTCGCCGCCGCCGCCGCCGTACCGCCTTCCGTGCCCTTACCGTCGACGTCGTCGCAGAGTACGATGCCGTCGCCAGGACCGGCGTTGTCCCCTCCCCGCGCGAAGCGGTACACGAGCGGCAGCGCCTTGGTGACGTTCTCCAGCTCCAGGGAGCCGTACACGACTCGCTTGCCCGCCGATGACTCTCCCGTCGTTCCTCGCCCTGGCGCGGCAGCAGCGACGCTGCCGAGAGCAGCGGAACCGTTCCTGGCCATCATCACCACCTCCTGGCCAGAACCACCCAGCCCGCCACCGCCGCTCCTCGGCGCGAGGAGCGAGAACGCCTCCGAGCCCTGCCGTCGCAGACGCAGGATGCTCACCCCGATCGTGCCGACAAACTTGATGGTGAGCTCGAACAGCCGGTCTGCCGCCGGTCGCGCGGATGCGGCCGCCGCCGCCGCGAGCCCCGCGGTAGGGCTTGACAACGGCCGCGCCGCCGCCGCCGCCGCCACCACCGTCCCTCCCGCCGACTCCGCCCCGACCGCCGCCGGCGAACCGTCTCCCGCGCCCGCCGGGGACATCTGAGAGGGCGAACAAGAAGAAGATGATGATGGCCCGACGGGCGCTAGATGGCCCTCGTTGTTCTCGGAGCGGCCGCTGCCGGCTCGGCTTTCTCTCTCGCCGTCCCCGGCCGCCTCAGCGAGGGTGCGGCTGTGGCCGAGTATTCGCACCCCCCCTACCAGCTCTCGGCAGTCCCTGGGGTGCCCCCCCCGAGATGGCAACAGACGATGACGACCGAGATGACCATCACCACGGGGACGGACCCACCGGTTATGGTAGCCGACAGCCAGCGTAGGAGGAGGGAAGAGAAGGGGCAAGAGGACAGGGATGGACACAAAAAAAAAAAAAGATGATTAAAGGGAGTGGTTTTGGTGCGAGATTCCGCGAACGAAGCGCACACGTGGAGACACACGCGCGTTTGAAAAGATAGAAAAAAGTTGGACTCCAACGGGGGGGGAGCACGGACTTGTTTTTCGCACTCGCAAAACGAACACTTGCGAGGAACAAGCAATCCGCTGGCCGCGCGCTTAAAAACAACGCTCTGAGACAACCAATAAACATCCACAGGCAGCGCTTTCTACCATCGTCGTTGAAGCACACAAAAAACACAGCATATACCGTCATACCACCGCCACCAAACACAGCTGTTATAAAAAACACATGAAGCACGTCACTCAAGAATGGCTTACCCCGCCGTGTAAGCCTCCGGCGGCAGCACCGGTCGCAGGCCGACATACAGCGTCGTCTCCGACTGGGGCAGCAGCGGCAGATCCGCCACCTGGGGGCGGTTCGGCACCGCCGACAACCAATCGCTCCCGCCGCCGCCGCCGCCGCCGCCGCCGGGGACGCCTCCGCCATCCTCGCCACCGGGCGGACCCACTTGTCCGCCTCCTTCTTTAGGAGCTTGGCTCTCGGACAACAACGACGAAGAGGAAGACGAGGTCTCCGCCGAGGGTATCTCCGAGTAGACGAAGCACTGCTTCCTGAGGTTGGGCGTGCACGTCAGGTACAGCGCGCGGTCGCTCACGTTGCGCACTCGCAGGGGCCGCACGATCTCCGACTCGCGGTCGGCCTCCGCCGCCGCCGCAGTCACAGCAGCCGCAGCCGCTGAAGCCGCCGCCGCGTTTTTGCCCACGCCTGATAAGACCCCAAGCTGTGGTTGGCTATGAGCGGCAGCGGCGGCGGCACCACCGCCGGTGGAGACCAGGCCAGGCATGTAGCAGAAACCGATCTGGAGCTTTTCGGGCTTGCCCTTAGCGTTGGGGTCGAGGTCTGGAAAGTGTAGATACATTCGCGGCTTGACGGTGGCCGAGACTGTCACCTTTGCCTGGACGTTGTGGGTTCGGACACGCACGATGGGAAGGCGGGGGGGGGGGGGGGGGGGGGGGGGGCCCCAAAAAAAAGAAAAGGGGGGATATTTTTACAACCCGGGGGGGGGAAAAATTCCCCCCGGTTTTTTTTAAGGGGCCCTTTTCCCCCCCCCCCCCCCGGGGGGCCCCCCCTGTCTTTTTTGTTCAT